ACCATAAAATCCCATGATTTATGCGATAATACATTACTACGATAGTAAACAAATGAATACTGTGGGTGCGGCACGTTACTACGATATGGTGGGGTGTTGTTTGCGATATATCTATTTAATCAATATTCGTATCCCGTGATTTGAGAAAAGATTATGCAAATAATTCTCCTGAATCTACCTAAACATACTTAAATTAATGACGTTCGATGAAGAAGTTCGCGCGTCGACTTTCAGTGGCGATACCTTCAGATCGTTAGTAAATATGATTACCGGAGACAGGTTTGATGAGGTGGAATGCCAGGAAAGTGAGGTTAATTTACCTCACACACTTTTTATTGCATTATTAATATTACAATTACCCATTATCCCCAAAGTTATTATGAGTTATTTTTATTCTGAATTGCTTGAATCTGATTTCTACAAAATATCGCCCGTTTTGTTCCTAATAAACATTTGACTTGCAATGAATCGATGGTTGTTTATTTACTTTGCAAAGGATGTTAAATTTCTTAACATACAGGTAGATACAAGTACACTTATCTAACCTGTACGGTTGCATTTTAACAAGAGTTAAAGACACATGTGACCGATAAGGATAAGAACGCAAGTCATGTTGTGTTATATGTTACTGCCGTGTGGTTTGCCCTTAACAACAAACCAATTCTTTAGTTTAAAATATCTAGTGAATAAGGGTTGAGATGGCATATCCAGAAATAAGAGAAAAAGCGAAAATGATGACTTCGGAATTATTGTCGCAACTTTTGTACTCCCTCGCGGCAGGGTAGGGTAGCTGTCTGCTAGGTGGCCTTGGTTGAATTCTATATGTCAACTGCCACGAAACGATTCAATGTAAAAGTTTAACTTATAAAAATTACCATAAGTCGTAGAAAAAATACCGTACGAACCTCTAGTAATGGGTATTAATACCCATTACATCGAGTGCGATTTACGATACTCGCTCTTATCGTAATATCATACCCCTGTATTAATATCCATCATTTCATCATCGTTTCATAATGCACTATTTCAGCACTCTGGATAGAAACTAGTTCTTACCTTCACTATTTGACGCGAAAATTACTTCCCGGTACGTATACAGCAAAATAGACTTTGTCATACGCCTACCCCAAAGAGGTTATGGGCATGTAAAACAACTGAATAATGTAAATTTTGGGAAACGCGTCATATGAAGGAAAAATTATGTAATTGCTTTCCAATTTCATTTAAGCACTTAACTTTGTGTGAAAAGCATTTCAGTAAATTGATTTTGATAAGCCAAAGTTGAATGCACATTTTTTATATATTAAAATACAGTTATTTTGTTTTATATTCCTACTCTTCGACGATAGGCTAAACTGTTAAGCTTGGATATTACAGAATATTACAGAACCTTAATAAATGGCACATTTTTAAAAGTCAACTGTTACCTTGACGACTCTACTTACAAATATCACAAATACAAATTACAACTGTTATATTTACCTCTACGAGATATCTTCACATGATTATTACAATCGTATTTTCTAAAATCATCAGCATTTGAATAATTTCGCTAATATACCCCTATAAACTGTTTGAAATACGTGTGTAGGAGAAAATGTGTTTTTCACCTCAGCAGAAAAATGTTTCCGGGCACGTGTTTTCCCGGTTGCACGTTCCGCCTTGCGTGGTAAAGATCTTCCGAAAAATATTTCATTTTCTATCTTGATATATAAATAAACATTATTGTTTATTTCCCACTACATATTTCCTCTTAAGATACAGATACTACTAAACAGAGTATATTGTCAGTTTTCGGGACCCCGGGAAAGCCGGAATGTTATGCTAAGTACCTCCCGTTCTCAGAGAGTAATCTCTCCGCTTACACGGGCACGTCACACGTGAGCTTCGGCGCCGGTGTGGGCGTGGCTGGAAAGCACAGCCGTCGGCGGGCGTCGCGGTGGCTCGGCGACGCGACGCGACGTCGGCGTCGTGTGTGCCTGGGACGTGCAGCCTGGTCCACGCTCCGCGGGCCGCGTAGAATGCCAGCGCAGTCGCGTTGTGGAACGTGTTGTACACGGGCGCCGGTGCAGCTCGCCGTCTCCGACGCTATCCACGACGCCGTTCTTTAAACGTCGGCGCCACCGGAGGCCACGTGTAGCGGACTTGGAAACAACCGGAGTACAACTAAAAACATACTTGTCTATAAGATTGCACACAGGTTAGGAACAGGTGTTAAAAACTTTAAGAGTCGCTTACCAGTGTCATTCCGATACCCGAAACACCGATGGAAGTGTCAACGGCGGACCCCGGAATAAATTGCAATATAATTGAAAAAAAAGGTTTTCTTATTTATGAACTAGTGACACATCATCAACATCCTAAAGGCAAAAAGTGCCTTGTCACTGTCACGATAATATTCTTTCCTCCGCTGTCCTCTTCATCTCTACATAGTTTCTCAAGTATAGTTCGTTTGGAAGTTGTTCTAAAAATTTTGTGCGCAGACTCCCTCTTCCTGTTTTTTCAACTATTTTGCAGTTCTTTTCACGGCGAGGTTGTAACGGAGCCGGCAACATCACATTTCGCGTATTCTCATCTAAATCATCATTCATTTCCTAATTTCTCTCGAAAGCCAGGAATATGATCTCTGCATGTGATCGCTAATATCGTTTGCTTTTTCGTATGCCTTTTTCATGAAGTTGTGAATTTCGGTGTGATAGAAAGACAAAAATGGGTTCCGCGCAATGTCATAATTAGAAAATAGTTGTTTGTTGCAATAACGAAACACATGAATGTCGCGGAAAGCACAAAATGTGCCATAATGTGAATAAATAAAGTCTTTTGCGTGTTATTTTTTTAAAATTGTGTAATCAAAGCCCAAGAGCACGCGATTTTTTAATTTCGTTAAATAAGGTTGATCCGACAATCCATGCAGTACTGTTAAGTGCCGGACCTTTTTTTTAATTAGAACAATAAGAAAGGAAATTAGACATGATATTCGCTGGATTTAAATTATATAAAATAAACTTATTTTATCTAATACGTTTTAAATAGACAGCACTAACTAAGAATCTCAAATATTTATTAATCATAAATAATTAGAGCCAAATTTATCTTCATAATATTTGAAACAAAAATTTAAATGGTACATTTTGTTAACTGCCAAGAAAGGAAAACTGACGTTTCCATATTGCAATTTAACTATGTGGATCAGTTTTAAGTTGAATCTCTTCATACATCCAGAATATTTTTTGTGTACATCTTCCTTCAATTAGGAAATGGACATTTCGTGCATAATGTCTTGTGTACATCTGCGTTCACTTAGGAAGTGTGTTCTTAAAGATCGAATCCAGATTTAGAGAATCAAAGACCACCACCACGATACCTACAAGGGAAAAATATAAATATCATATTTTGACTGCACACTTTCTAATAAACAGTTGTAGATATTATTAAAGACTAACTGCTTTGTTTTATATATTTGGTAAATGCATGTAGCAAATGTCATTCAGAACTTGTTTGAATTTAATTTTTGCCAATACAGAAATGATCTTAAAATTCACAAAGTAGTTTCTTTCATGAAGGCATGATTAAGATGAAATTAATAAAATAGTGCAGAGGCTGTTAAAAAATCAATTGAAACTTGAAGTGAATAATTATTAAGCTACTTCTATTTTCAACCTGCCTATTTAAATTCATTAATTGATGTTATTTACAAAATATTACTCAAATCAATGTCCTCAAAGTATTTGAAATTTTAACTGATACAAAATATTTTCAAATTAATTGACATATTTTTTGTCTTGTTGGAGCAAATTGTTCCTCTCAGAATCACTTCCGTTCCCGTTTCAGGAAAATATGTCATTGAATGCGTCGGCATATCCGCTCCAATTCGAACATTTTTTATAAATCGTAATAAGTATCAACGAAGTACAAACGAGCGCGTCTTGTGTTGCAGGTGTCCCAGGCGGCGCTGCTGCTGCTGGCGGCGATGGCCGCGGCCGCCATCCAGAGCAGCGG